ACGTGTATAATATTCATTTAATGGTTCCTGTTTTAGTTGCTGCTGTTCATATTTTGGTTTTTTATTGTGTTGTTGCTCTACAAAATGTTAATATTTATGTGTATAACATTACTCTTTCTGTGTATAATAATACTTATGTGTATAATATTCATTTAATGGTGCCCTTCTTGCTTGTTGCTGTTGTTGCAATTCAGAATTTAAATTAACCTGAGGCAATAGGTAGAACTTCATCCTCCAATATTTTCCTATGTAAATACTGAAGTGGACAGTATTTCTGATGACAATTTTATCACAAACTTTAACATCTTCTTCTTTAAAATGAAACTGCCATACCTTATCTGTAGATTTCAAAGCAATATCTAAATGCTTTTGACCATCACTGTAATCTAATTCTTGTCTGAAAATCAATACCTAATATTATCCTGATGATTTTGATTTTTGATAGATTATTAAAATACAGCACTTACAGTTAACTATATTTCTTGAAAGTACCTACAATTTCCTACTTTTACTTGTTTAAAAAAATGCCAACAATTTGTGCATGTCTGTCAAACTTTAAAATCATTAAAAATAAATTTTATTTAGGTTGTAACTTTATAAAAAGGATTGTAAAAATATATTTTGTAACATGTATGTCAATAATCTTACGAAAAATGTTTACTACACTTTTGATTGACTCTAATTTTTACATATAATACAAATAATACAATACTGAATTATATTATGTATTTTACAGCTATTCAATCAACTTCGCACCACACACACTTTAACCATTGTTAAATAATAAATAAAGCACAAGATATTGATAAACAATAATTATTTTATATTCAAAAACTCTGTCTGAAAAATAAAAACAAAATTTTTTTGGGTAATGTTTGGTTATATTTATTTTTATTCTCTTATCTATGGTTACTTTTAATTTTTTAGATTCATGCGTTTTTAGCGCCACTGTGCTTATTTGGCGAACCCTTATTCTTCCCATTTTGTGACCACTTTTTCAATAAAAGTCCCATAAGAGTTATTTCTCCTTACCTCTACACTCCATAGCCCTAAGCTACCACATCTCTGCTGGAAGGGGACATTAAAGTGTATTGCAACACAGGTTGTTAAGAGTAATATTTAAAAACAAAAAAATTCTATAAAATATTATTATAGACCTATTTACGTTTTAAAAAATCTAAATAAATTTAACCTACCAATGATAAGTATTTTAGGGTAATTTAGGAATTGAAAATATTAACATATGTAATTAAATTTTCAAATTTAACCATTATTTGTTTATGTTGGAAGAGCAAGGCACGTATTGATAAAACAATTATTATTTAAAAAAATAACACAAATTAATTTATTCATACCATAGACTTAAAATAAAATATAGACTACACTATTTACATCTCAACGCGGACAAACAACCTTTTTTGTACACATGTTTACTTCTGGGTACAGTCGACCGAGCCTTCCTCATCCAGCCTATGTTGTCACGTCTTTAATATTATCAATATTTTTTTTCTTGTTATACACATGTATTGAGATATTAATACTACAGTTTAATAAAGTAGGTTTTAATATTCCATAGATGTATTAAATAGTCCTTATACTACTAAATTATAAGTCGGATACTGTTTAATAAGGATAAGTTCTTTACAGCATGACAACACCGATTAGAGGCGAGGGAGCCTATTCATTCATTTATTACCTTGTAGTACGTGTCGCACGTGTGCGGTAAAGCTTTGTTGCCGCTATCTCCCCGGCTGTATTAACGCATTTTCTTAGCTTATAGTCCTTAAGTGTTTATTTTATTGACTTTTTCTGTTCAAAAACTATAAAATATGGTTCGCCAGTGCCAAATTTGCAAGAAATTTGACTTAAAAATCCATTTAAGTCTTGAAACGACTTTTGACCGGTAGGCAACTCTCAATTTACCCATTGGCAGTCAGTGGCGTTGTTGTAGAAAGGCACTTATTTAGATAATATTTTAGTAAAATGTAAAATCTGAATTTTTCTTTTACCATTACATTATTTACTTACTTACATTGTAACAAAATCATAATTATAACCCTGTTAATAATTAATAATGTTTTTATTAAAAATATATTCCGGTTTATTCTAAAATTATCTTCAGAATCTAAAATAACGTACAAGAATTTTAAAATGATATTACTTTATGAAACAATATTTTTTAATATACCGGGTCGTCTCAAAAGTGGCTTAACCCTATAACTTTTTATTTTTCAGATAAAAAAAACAGATTTGTATGTTAGTAGGTATATGATATAAATTAGGATTTATTGACGTATTCAATTGTTTTGGTCTCTTCCTGTTTCACCGAAATGATTACATCTTTTGATTTTTAAAGGCACCCTCGGTATATTGCTACTTTATTCGATAAAAAATGACACTCTGAATAGAATGACATATCATATGTCAACTTTTGACATTGTCGCTTAAAAACATATCCTATTTTAAATTTCAATCCAGTTTTTTTCAATCCACTAAGTTTTAATCAAGGAGCCTTGAAAAATAGTTTTGATCGTCTAATAGGTTTCGTGTCTTGTCTAGGCCGGTTAAAAGATGTACAAATCGTATTTTTAATCATACAAATATCAATTTTTTCAGATGGAACAAGGGTGACTCATTAGCATATTTGGAAAAAGCATTTTTTTATGAATATATTGATACTTGGTATTTCGAGTCAAATTGTCGTTATGAACCGCGTGTTACAATTACAATTAAACCATATGCGAAAATGTCAAAAGTTGACATATGATATGTCATTCTATTCAGAGTGTCATTTCTATCGAATAAAGTAGAAATATACCGAGGGTGCCGTTTAAAAATTAAAAGTTATAGTCATTTCCGGTGAAACAGGAAGTGACCAAAAACAATTGAATGCGTCAATCAATCTAATTTATTTCATATACTAACATACTAAATCTTGTTTTTATTTGAAAATATAAAAATTATGGGGATGAGCCACTTTTGAGACGCACCCGGTATAATAAAGACAGTACCGAGTTAAATAAATGTAGTTTTTATTTTATCCACTTCCTATCACCTTCCTTGCTTTAATGGAACAGATTTATGTTTCCTCTAATTTACATAATAAGACATCACTTAACCAGAAAAAAAATTACAACAATCATTTTTTTTCTCTCCCTGTCGCCGTTTATATTATATCTGTGGAATAGATCCTGTTTTGATTAATATTAGGGGTTGTAAATGTTTGACTAAAATTAATAATTTATTATTAATTTCAAAAATTACCTAATTTTGATTATAAAATTTCTTCTATAACGTGTATTTTATTATTTTTATCCTTTTTGGACTCTAATTGTTTTTTCTAAACTTTTATTTAAAAAACCTGTCCTAAATCTTAATAAAATATAAAAAAGTTTAAATACGATATATTTTTAATTTAATTATAGCTTCATTAAAATAAAAAAAAATTACCCGGCTATGATACGGAGAGTTCAGGTGTACTTGAGAAACGAAAGACAGTGTTGTGTTTCTCGGCAGAGTCGTCAGGGAACGACCGTTACGACAGAGACAATCTATCTATCGCTCGTGTCGCACTCGTTATAACCTAAAACAATAACACAACAATAACAAGACAGTGTCTGACCGCATGTTCCAGCTATTTATGAATGAGATGCTCAGTCTATATTTTATTTTAAGTCTATGATTCATACTATTAGATATTTTATGAATACATGTAACAGGGTGGCGCCTCTCATACGCCGTAGAAGCTCCAAGGAGAACGGTAGTTTATATCAAAATGAAATTTTGGCAGCATATATAAGTTAACTGAAAGCATTTTATAAAATATATAGAATTATACCGGGTGTCTCCAAAAAAAAAGTTACACATCAAAGTTGTGTTTTTTCTAATGGAACACCCTATATATTAATTTATTTTCGCATTCTAGGAAAAAAATAAAACTAAGTTTAAATAAAATGAAATTAAATGAAATTAAATGAAATTAAACGTCAGTCTAAACAAAACTGTCATTTTTGAAAACTTGTCAAAATTTGGACACACGCTAAATGGACTTGATTTTCCTATGTCTCGAAGTCTGTTGACTTTTCTGTATACCGTAAAACCGTAAAACCACCCGGACTATATAAAATCAGGAGCACTTAAGTATTTTTAAGATTTTTTTTTTGTTTTAACTGATACAAAATGATAATTAGTTGTTAAAGTTGGACTAATTATACAGCTATGTTGAAGTAACGTCAGACATATCACAGCCACCTAGATTTTATCAAATAATAAAGATCACTCAGATCAAATCAAGTAAATGAAAATATCTAGGAAAATCTTTGTTTGAGGAGTAGGCAACCTTAATAGTATTTTGAAGAGACATGAATTCTCCATTGAATATCGGAATAATATACTGGGTGTTCCATTTAAAATAAAAGAGTAACATGCTTTTAAAGGTGACCAATCTTCAATATTAATTTTGTCTCACTCTGTATAACTTTTTGAATCAAGTTTTAATTTGATTTAAAGTACAATAGTTAATTTAACTACATATTAGGCTATACCGGGTAAATTCCAATTTAGGTAGCTTTTAAAGTGAAAAAAAAATAGTCGATTTTTTTGACCTACCCTAATACAGACATTAAACAATTGAAGTTGAATTTAATTATTTGAATAAATTTACTGAGAATTTTAATTTTTTATAGGAGATCTCGTGATTTTTTTAAATAAAAAGGAATTACAATATTTTGAAGGGATGCGACGCATCACCCGCATCAATCTTCGCCGCTGATAACTGGCGAAATACTCAGGATTTTTTCAAGAAGCCATTATTTTTATCAAATATCATTATAAAAGATAATACAAAATTGTTCTTTCTATTATTTGAATCTCATCTATTTAATAAACTTCTGAAAGTTCTTAAATAATTTCTTAGACGATATTTTTATAATGCTTTTGTATATCGATAGCGTTCTCAGTTTCTGTATTCTAGAAATAGAAATATAATTTTAAAGTTTTACCTTAATCGAGTCTACGACATCTCCAGCACCTTGTTTTTCGCATTTTTCTCTTAAAACTTGTTCCACCTTTTCTACATTCACGCTTGTCACATTTAATTCTGGCAAGTTAACACCATTTTCTTGAAATGTCTTTCCCAGATCCTTTAAATTTGTTTCCATATCTTTTGATAGCTTAGATGTGTCTAAATCTAAGTTATTTGATATTTGTCCGAAAGCACAGCCTGAAAAAAGAAACAGATAATTAGGTATGCGTATTATATTATTATATTAAAAACTCAAAACTTTAAAAGAAGAAACAATACTTTTGTTTGATTAATCAAATTATTTTTTCACGATATATGCTTATTCACGTGTGTGCTCCCTAAATTTTGACTAGAAAAGTTATTCTTCTTTCTACAGAAGAAAAATAAGAACAATCAAGTTCTTGAAAAAATATTTGAATATACAGGGTGTCTCAGAAATAAGTGCAGATATTTTAACTGGTAGTATATTTCGACCCCAGAAACACGCCTATAAGATTTTTTGCGAAAAAAAATTGTTGAAAATTTTTAATTTCTCTTGACATTTTCCGGGAAATTTTAACAAACTTTTTAGTGCCACTTGTTTATTCACCTGAGATTTCTCTAGGGTGTATCTAAATTTTGCAGTGTTGTCACCTTCTACGTTATCTACCATCTACAGATTTCTATATTTATAATATAATTTCTATATCTATACCAAACCAAAGGTATAAGTTCACAACAATTTCACATTTCTACACAAATTATTAGGAATTTTAATTTTAATCTTTCATCTAAATTTGTTAATAAATTCACTAATTTTAATTCAAATTTTGATTAATATTTACTCAATTTAATCTAATATTTTTAGATACCTTTGAATACAGAGCAAAATAAAACACTAATAACAATTATGCCATATGCATACCCTTTAAGTTAGGCAACTGTCTCGACAAGCGTGTTTTGATTGCTTTGGATTCAACCATTTTGTTTGTTTCCTTTCGTGTTTCTCTGTTTTATTTTTAAAATTTAATACGCATTTGATTGCTTCGAATGTCTTGAATTTAAAATTCTTTAGGTACGGTAGCGTCGCTTTAAAGAACTGGTTGGCACGTGGCACTCTTGGCGGACGATTGGGTTTTCGATGGAGCCATTCAATAAATCGCAATACATCAGAAATACATCGAAAAGATAGTGAAAAAAACTAAATATGTATTTAAAATTGTTGAGTGAAACATGTATTTTCTGAGATTAAAAATAGTTCGTGGCGATAAAAGGCAATAATTCTCAACATTTATTCATTCAGGTAGGTATTCAAAGTAATATACGCTTTTCAAAATGTTTTGTAAATCATTGGTTCAAATTATGATAAAGCCTATACCTATATAAATAATGTGTTAGAAATGGGAACTGTTATTTTGTATACAAGTAAAGCAGCACAGTGAAGTGTATTTTAGTTAAGTGGGTATCGAAAAAGTGAACTGTCACAGTAGGTCAGTTCACTAAAAAAAAATTTGCACTAAAAGTGGTAAAAAATTAATGTTTTAGTATTATAATACCTATTAAAAAACTTTTTTTTCAAAAAAATAAACTCCTTTGACAAGAGAGACTCTTGAAGTTATGCGCTCCGTTCAAATTAAATAAACGCGCTCTCATTGGCCTGACGTCACATGCCTGCCGCACGCTGCTCTGCTTGCGACGGCAAGACCGTGATTCAGTTTGACTGTGACACTTCATGTACAAAGTATTGAAGTACAGTCGACATTTACAGCAGTTACATTATTATTTTGTTGTTGTTGAATACCGTAAAAGAAGTTGTTTTTGTTGCTAAATTTGGAGGAGGGTTTCCAGAAAGGAGATTCACATAATTTACCGCAAGTAGATGTCAATATGGTATTCGACTTTCTCTTGCTGAATACTGATTATAACCAAGTTGAATCCAGTGGTGTTAAAGCTAGTCGGTAAGTGCGTGAATAAGTTGTTTAGTTTGATTATGTTGTTTACTTTGTTATTTAATTTTTGTATTTTTTAAGCCGATAAATATTTATTATGTTAAAAATATTTTTTTATCATAAGTATTTCCAAAAGTGTTTTTATGTATAAAAATATAACAATATTATACATACAAAACTACAACTTTGGGAAATACTTATGATTCTTTAAACATAAGAAACTAAGGTAACAAGATTATTTAAAACTATATAACAGATGTATCATATACTTTATGTTTTTAAACGATGATATGTATTTTTACAGGTCAGCACGGTAAAGCTATGGCGATTCAGCTGTAGGGTACGTTCAGATTAAACGGCAGGGTAGTAGATGTATTGTGATAGCCAGAATATGTCCCGAACATAAAGTCAGGATAAAGCCATACTCAGTTAGAGCTATCATTAATGAAGACACGGAAATAGTTGAAGAACCATTTTGTCCCAAATGGGATCCAATATTAAATTAATCAAGTGCGCAAGTATTGGAAGAAGTTTAAAAAATACTGTTGCTGATATTCCAAGTAGCAACGGCTTTCTAAACGATGTTTTAAAAATGACTGAAACACAAACGCAATATGTGCGTCCTTTGGTTTTACATAACAGTCCCTTAAGTGGTAGCAAGAAGTTGTCTGTCCATCACTTACTACAAAATTGTATTAGAAATGGTGTAAACCCAACGGCAGATTATTTTATTGAGTATTGCAAAAATTCTATTACCACAGAAAACATTAAAAATGCCAGCAAACTAAGCCATACGCAAAGTGAGGATTCGTTATGGTTTGAGCTTCGTTATGGTCGCCTAACCGCTTCAAAACTATATGAGGCTGCTAAATGCAAAAAAACAAATGGTAGTTTGGTAACACAAATTATGGGCGTTTCCAAAAAATTTGATACGCCAGCCATGAAAAGAGGAAGAAATTTGGAAAAACATATTTTAAATGAGCTAAATAAAAAACTTAACATAAACGTAAATATATATGGATATATAAGGAAAATATATAATATATAAGGAAAACTTTAACAATTAGTTTTAAAAGTAAAATTTGATATAAAAATTGCCGACTCTGAACTGTCTGGAACTTAGAGAGGTAAAAAGTAAAGTGCGTGTTGAAAAGTAGAGTAAAACGCGACATCTTGGAACTGAATTGAATTAAAAAGTGTGATTAAGTGTTAAAACTGTACCTAGTAGATCTTTTGTTGGCGTAATATACAAACGTGTCTGAACAAAGGCTATATAATTTTACAATAAGGACTTTCCATCGACTAATAATAATTGACGGGTCGTTTATGACTAAGCGTAAAACAGAATTGGTACAAATTATTCTGAATACAGTGGCGTAACTTGTAGTACAGATAAAACTTGACTACAACTATGTATCTAATCTAATTAAATCTAGACAGGGATACAAGAAAACAGCGCAACGGATCTGCTTGTTATGTCTCTGGTAAGGCGCTACGCGCGATTAGCGAGCATGTGACGTCACACCCACGGTAGCTCTCCTGGCAGCGTTTTCCCGCCTCGACGCAATGATCCAAATTGAATTACGAATAACTCGAAAAGTATATGAGTATTTATTTTCAAACTTTGTACAGTCTTTCAATATGCACAAATTTATAATTTGCAGTAGAAAACTAAATTTTGTTGACAGACCTGTTACTTTTCTGTCATTACTAAATTTGACATAAGTATCTTTTTTTAATATTGTGGGTAAGTTTTTTCTTTTAATTTATTTTGTGTAATAATAACACCATCTTAAAATTGTAATGCATCTCTGCAATCTCTGCTAAACTCTTCAGGTGGTGTGTTTTTCTGATTTATTTTTATTTAATAATATACTTTTTTGACTATGCGGCAACACAGGGCGTCGAATTATCTGAGATCCGGGGACCAATACCAGTAATTGGATGGTGTTGGCCATATCTGCGGCGGCTCTCAAAATATTGCCATAATTTTATTAAAATTTCAAATAAAAGGTTAAATAACTCGGTTATTTTCCATTTATTTTAAAAATGGTAAAGAGAAAATATGTTTCTTTTGACCAGATCTACCACCCCTTAAAATATCTGCACTTATTTCTGGGACACTCTGTATATAAATATTTGGACAAAGCAGTTTCTTTTCTTGTAACTAGTCTCTAAGAACAAAATTCATTTTATGGCTTAAATATCTGAAATGCAAATAAAGACCTGTTCAAAGTAATAAACAATAGTGCGTGATAAATTTAAACTAAGAAATAACAGAAAAATAAGAAGTAAGTAAATAATCTAAAGTATTTATTTAAATATTTATAATGATACACACTACTAAAAAAAGATGGTTACTAAATGATTAAAATTCAGCGTTTTAAATTCAAACAAACCTGTCAATGCATAATTTAGATGTTTTTAGGTCTGAGAATTCAACTTTGATAGTTATTAAATATTATTTTATTCACAAGGTACATGGTTCAGTTTTTTGTCTATGACCAAAGGTCAATTCCCTAAGTATTTAATAATTGCTGGTACTGTTGGTATTTGAAAAATATATAGTACTTAACTATATTCCTTTGTAATTTGGAAATATAAAATATTGTTGACGCTTTTAATGAAACACACAAAAAACGCCAAACAATGACAGAAAACAGAAAATACAATGTGATACAATGTACATGCTCATTAAAATAAGAGACATAACTGTCACTGTCACGTTTTCTCTCTTTGCGCAAACTATTAAGGTGCGTTTTCATAACTCTCAAATCACAAAATTTCAACTGAATTGAAATAAATAAATAAATAAATGCCTTTATTGTCAAAAAATTTTACCATTTGTAGACAAAGGTAAAGTAAACAAACAAAGTAAACAAACAAAATAAACAAACAAAGTAAACAAACAAAAGAGAATACAAAACATTATACAAATTACATTGCCAGTCTTATTGTTTAAAATAAACATTTATAAATGTTTACAATGTCAAAGAATAAAACTATAAAAATAAGGTTCAAAAATATTTAGTAAGTTTATAGTAAATATCAATGAACTACAAATAAATTTATTTCGATGTCATTGGTAAATATAGTAATAGCAAAGCATTAGACCAGTGTTTACAAGATCAAATTCGATTATCAAAATATAAGTCATTTACGGCTTAGAAAGCCTTGTCTAGTAAATAAGATTTCAATGCTTTGCGAAATGAAGAAAATGATGTTATGGATTTGATTTCAAATGGCATTTGATTGTGCATTTTTTTCGAG